TGTGTATGAACTATGGCTATTTTACTAGCTAAAATTTAATTATAAAATATTCATAATAATAACAGAAATAAAGATTTGTAAATTTGACTATATAAGCCCAAATCACTTTGCAATTTTTAAAACACAAAGTTTAAAACTAAAATAATATACATGATCATCAGATTTTTTACAGGGCCATACAGATGTTTACTACTAATATAATAAAAAACTCTTATTAAAAATATATTACATAACTTACATTGGAAGAAACAAAAGATTAGGAGAAAACTGAAGGTTGCATGAAAGTATAAAATTGGTACATTTTTCTAATTTTGTAATACAATATCCGATTACTTGTCAATCAAGAAAATTCAACAAGTAAATTGTACTTACAGCAATACTTCAAGTATTGCTGACAGTTCATACATTTTTTCATTGGAAATCTACCAGGATTTTAATATTCACATTATAAAAGGTTTTGCATATGAATAGATTAACAAGAAACAATTGTCATTCAATAAAGATGGCATTGTGAAAGAAGAATATTTCACTTAACTACACCTTAAATATTACAAGAAATAAAATGCAGCTACATAATTGAGAAATGCAAAATTTTCTATGTCTCTTAGGAACTTACTTTTACTATGTTTGATTTAAATTTGTTTCCCCACCATAAAAAAAACAACACTTTACTGACTAGGAAGGGTTGCTCTTCCAGCTCTGAAAACTGTTCGACAGCAGTTACATACAGTTTCAGTGCTACTGATAATACTGCAACTATCCAATGAAAAATTATGCTGTAAATCACCACCCTAGATTAAAGTTATGTACATTAACGAAATAAATAGACATTACAGATAAGAAACTTTATCTCATAATAAAATGAGCGACATACAATTTTAGATAAGTAAAATCTCAGTCCATGTGAAACTTCTGCCAATAACCAGTAAACAATGTGCACTTAAGAAAAATATGTATAATACTTTAGAAGATAATTTCTTTTAAAAGAATTCAGCATCAGAGGACTTCAGTATTTATCTTTTTATACATTCCTCATAACAGTAGTCACACATTCATTTTCGTCAGTTTTCTGAAGTAATCTAATTATCCTTTAATTTATCAGAGAAGCTAAGTACAACTATATATCTACCCCTTCAAACAAAATGAATAGTGACAGCATTAGCATATTTTAATATTCAATTACATGTCAGTCACACTTTCTGAAAGAAAGAGTACATAGTACAACCTTCATCTAATCACTATTAACATTATTGGAAACTATGAAAATTGTGAAAATGTACACTATTCAATTTGTAAAGAAAATTCTCATGTTCAACCTCTTTCTTCATCATAAGGAATTTGTTACAACAAATTTTAGCGCAACTAAATTAATAGAAATTTAGTCTCTGTGGAAGCTCACATCTTGTCAACTCATACTTCATGTAGATTTATTGACATGGCAATGCTGCCTTCTACATGAAGAAGCAGTATTTTTAAACCACTTTCTAAATTTCTTCTCAAATTCAATCATTGATACATTTCAAGCAAAATTTTGTTGTTTAATTAATGACTATTAAAAAAGGTGGTGTATCTTCTTCAAAAACCATTAATCAAAACAATTTTGATAAAACTCATTACTCCAATATAATTGGGAAAATTTCTGATCAAAATTTAAGATAATAGTGAAAGAACCAAATCTAGTACAGCCACTGTGTGATACATGTTAAACGTAATGTTGGGTATGCATTTAAACATTTTGTTAGCAATTTTGTTTGGAGCAATAGATGTATTAAATAAATAAATAAATAAATAAAAAAAATTAAATGGCTCTTTCTGAATTCGAAAAATGTTTGCTATGCTCTCGATAAAACCTAAATGTTTTCGTAAATGCCCCACAACACACTAAGCAATGCAAGTGACCAAGCTGTAATTTGAATGCATTGAAGATGGCAATCTTTATCACGATTTGAAAATAAAGCAGGTGAGGGTGCAAATATTAAACAAATTTCCAAATAATCTTGAAGTAAAAAGAAGGTTTTGATCAAGTTTGATCAAAATCTGAAATAAAATTGTTGATTCAAATTCATCACGAATATTAGATTATATTTCTTCAGTGTTCAAACAGTTTCAGAATGCTCAAATATACAAAGTAAGAATTTGAAAACAAAAAAGTCGAATTTTTTTGAGGATGAGAGATACATTTTTGCTAAAAATAGATCCACTGCTTCCCCTTTCAGAAGGAGAAAAGTGCAGTTTGGCCTTACAATTTTGTTGTCAAATAGGGGGGTTTAAATAAAGATTAGTTAGGAAAAACTCATCATTTTCAAAAAAGGGGATCCAAATATTCTAGTACTCAGTGACTCCGTACTTAGTTGGGGCTACAGAAAGTTTAGTAACGACATGGAAATTTGAAAGTATTCATCCACATAATTGTTGAAATTAGAAATAAATTGTCAAATTCATAAGATGACTAAAGTAATTTCTTCTGTGGCCATAATACTGCAGCATTTGAAAGTCGTCAGGTATATAATATCCCATCCATGATTTCCCCTGCCAGTGTGCTTCTCATCAAGATGCTGCGTGCCACTGACCAGTCTTATTTTTCCCCAATCTTCTCCAAGAGAGCTTCTCAGTTTCCGAATGCTATGCTTTCCTCAACTAAAGTTTCCAGAGGTGTTCAGTTTTCTTTTAGTTCCTACTATACTACTTGAAATGTTATATTATATAAAATATTTAATAAGTGAGAAAAGTGAGTTTTGGCAGAATAGGAGAGAAACTTGAAATTCTTAATTTGAAAGCTATTTAAGCATTCTGCAACTTTTGAGCTATGCCTTTATAAAATCGAAGTCAAACTGCAACATAATGGATTTGTATTCCAGTTCATAAACCTCATCTGTTTAAAGTTTCCTTAAATGCTTAAAATTTAGAAACAATAATTTGGGCCTCGATTCATTGTAACTTGTTCAATGTGGTAACATTATTATTATCGTAAAATAACAATCAGGAATCCCAAAGCTATGACAGATACTAAACTCTTTAAATATAAGTTTAAAACAGTCTCCAAAATTTCTCTGACACCTACAACTTGTTCTACAAATTCCCCAACTTGTTTAGGTTTTCCCAAAACTGGCCTTTAAAATTAGGTAAAATAATTTCTCAAAAGTAAAAGGATCCACACAGCAGACGAAAATAAAAATTCTTACAGTAAAACAGAATACAGTAAAACCCTGCTTTTACACTCCTGAAATTTGTGTTTTCCCAACATTTACGTTTCTTGTTGGTCCCCATTTGTTTTCATATATTCATAATGTTATAAATACCCAGCTTCAACGCTAGGATAATTTCAACTTTCTGCAATATTCAAGCATGCCTGCCACAATACCATCTACTGTGATTTTCACAAAACTGCCTCTGGCATGCATCAGCTGTTGACAGTCTCATCCAATCAGGAGCTTGAACATCACTATGGTGATGTTCAAGCTCCTAATTAGATGATACAGTCAACAGCCAATACCTGACAGGGGTTGAGTTGTGAAAATCTCAATATAGAAAGCACAATGTGCACCGTTGTCACTGCACTTGGCCATAGGTGAAAGACTATTGAAAAGTTGCATTTATGTAATAAAGAGTTTAAATATAATAGTTTTCCTTAGCCTTTAATAGCTCTAAGTATGGAACTCTCCACATCTATAAGACAGTAAATTTGTTTCATGAACCCACTATTATTTCTGAAATAGAAAAAATTATATTATATAATTGTTAAAAATCATTATGAACCGCTGTAAACTTACTTTTTATTGAGTTGCGGAATATGTTAACTTCACTTTTATTTCTTCCAACAGAAATACCAATGCTCTCTCTTCACCCAACAATGGGAAAATTGTTGCTATGTCAATGGCTTTCATAATTGGATGGCAAGGGTTTGTGGAATTGTCTTTGAGGCATTTAAAATTCACTACATTTTAGGTGTAAATAAGTTATTTTCAACGTCGCACCTTTCAGTCATATTTGTATTTGACCTTTGCAATCTTGTTTACTATGCATCTAATTCTGCATATTAAAATGCTGGGCGTTTGTATGTATCTAAATACATTATAGGCATCGTTTTAAAGGAAAAACGACCCCCCCCTTATTTACTCCATTTCCCCATGGCCCCATGAAATGTACAAGAGGGGTTTTACCGTGCAAAACAACTTCACTCATAAAAAATTCACTGAATTATTTCTAACTATAATACATATAGGTTGGAAATACATTAGATAATTCCATTATATACATAACAGTTCTGGAAACCGCAATTGTTGCAGAAACAGGACGCGAGCACTAGTGGCTGGAAAACAACAGTTTTTACCCAAGGTGGGCACCAGAGATTTGCTCATGATGCTGAAAATGAGCAATTTCAGGACCCTGCCTGGATGGAGTTAACAGATAGCTCTGATCGTTAGTTTCCATTACTTCCAGGTAGAGCAGTACTACACTAATGGGCATGGACTGCTTGCAATCTTTTTATCTAACATCTCCCTCCAATCACACTGGGATGTAATGGGAGAATACATACTATATCTTCCTCTTTACAACCACATTACAGATCGAGGGAGGTGTCCTTAATCCAAAACATAATGGGTAATTGGATTAAATGTGGCTGAAAAATAATGTTCAACAACTTGACATCTTTTTCTCTTTCTAAGAAATGTGATGTATAAAACCGTAAAAGATATCAATAAAACTATTTCTCCCTTATTCTAATACAGTAAAATCGCAAAGTTTAAAACACTTTTGTATTTTTATACCTTCTTTTGGTACCACAATATATTTAAATTTAAAAAAATTATAATTGAACATTTTTATGGTTATCAAAAATGTTCAACTAAAAAGGGGTAAGAGGGAGGGAAAGAGGGGGGTGGGAGGGCGATGTTGCACTACTTCAAAGTACAATACAGTACACACAAGTAGCTAGGGATCTGAAATAATTAAAGATGTTGTCATTGCCAACAATATTTTTTAATGCAATAGCAGCTTTCGATGGCTTAGCCATCAAAAGCTGCTATTGCATTAAAAAATATTGTTGGCAATGACAATAGCTTTAATTATTTTAAAAATGCCAACGATATCACACCACAACACCTATATAGGGATCTGAAGATTAGAGTTGAGTGTACCTAGGCTGAGAAAGATTGAGTGGAGAACTTTCATTATCTGCACATGCAGTTTCCTTTGTTTTGGCAAGTTGCATCAAAGCCATAGCACCCATCCATTTCAGATTATCATCTTGTAAAGAAGTGCTTAGAGCTACTTGGGGCCAAATTGAATATTGATCTTCTGATTCCACTTTGACCTTCTGGGAGCTATTTTCTTTTCCAGCTAACATTAATACTGTTGGCCTCATTTGATTAGCAGTCTGCATTGCATCAATGTTTTCACCATTTCCACAAAACGAAGAATCATCTTCTCTTTCTATCCACTGAAGAGGTTGTGCAAGTTCTTGTTTTTCTTCCCACAGAGACTGATCTTGACATGCTTCTCTTAACCAACGTTTTTTGGGTTGCTCTTGTCTATATTCTCGCCTCTCATTAATATTTCTGAAAGACAATCCACTGTTGATACAAATATTACTGAGATGATCAGAGTCTGTGTCAGAAGACGATTGTGTCACCACTTTTAATTCTCTGAAGTCTTCGGTCATAGAGTTTCGACCTGAAGAATGTTGCCAACGTAAAGGCTGAGAATTTTTCATCCCTCCTTGTGATTTATGCTTTTTATGTAAATTTTCTTGTTGTTCCATTTCACTGACCAACCCCTTCCTAATTTTTGACTTTTTAATTGGAGTTACATGAGACGACTCGTTTTCTACACCATCTCTCTTAGACTTAGTTCTTTTTTCAAGTTTCTTTGATGGTGTACGTTCCTCTCGATCCTTCCGATACCTTGAAAAAAGAAAGGAGTTAAAAATTTGCAAGCACTACACTATCTTGTTATATTACACTTACACTTGCACTTGCACTTACCTTTCAAGCCAACGAAGAACATCACTCGATTGTTCAGGATTAGATGCTACAGGACGCAGGACAAAATCATCACTACGATGAAGAGCTGCATATGGATGATTTGGGCAATGTCGATTCGCATGAGTAAAACGCATGTTGCACCTTTAATACAAACACCACATCAGTATGTTCAACTAATTTTGTGCAATAAATTAATTTAGATGAATTGTCATTCCTTACCCTGCTTGTGAGCACACAAAAGGTTTTTCTCCTGTGTGCAATCTCTGATGAGTTTTAAGTTGCCCACTTTGAGTGAAGGCTTTAGTGCAACCAGGATAGTCACATGTATATGGACGCTCTCCTGAAAATAATTTTTTGAAATTAGTATGGAACCAACAAAATATGATAAATATTTTTGCCAGGATCAGCAAAAGAAGAGAGTTTGCAAGCAACGTGCATAAAAAAATACTGAAAGAGATTAAGGGAATTTTATTTTTTTAAAAATTATTGAAGAAAGACATAATGAAAATGATACAAGCATGTACAACTTGATTGGTTATGTGTACATCAGCTGTTGCTGTTGCCATTGCATTAATAAATAAAAATAAATAAAAGAATAGAGGATGAAAATGATACAATTATAATTATTGGGGGAAACACACCAAAATCACTGATAAGATTAGTTTCAGTTCTAGAATTACCATATATTGGACAGGGGCCACCATCAAGAACCGAGATTCTTGGATTTCTAAAAAGCATGATATTTTTAATTAAAAAGGTTGATTTTCTAAAAATAGATAAATCAAAAATTAAACTGCCGTACTTCAAATATTCAAGGAGGTAGCAATCATACCAACTGATCTGTAATATGGTATGTTCAAAATCTTAATTAGGTTTAATTGATGCAGTGCCAGTTGTCTTATTTTATATAATACATTTTTGAAAGCCTGTGATAGGGGGAACAGAAACAATGTGGTAAATACTTGAAGATGAAGAGATACCTACAGACATAATAAAAGGAATCCAGAGTCTGTGTACAGATTTTCAGATTAAAGTAATGATGAATGATGGAAGAAATGCAGACTTTCAAAACAACCAGAGGACTGAGACAGGTGTGGGCCATTACCATGTCTGTTTAACTTTATCCAAACGACATGATGTAAAAGTGGAAACAAAAAGTAAAATCTGGTATAAATTTAAACAGAAGACAAATGGTCCAAATGATTCTCTACGCTGAGGACATGATCTTAACAATGGAATCAGAAGATGATCTGCAGATAGCAGCAAATGAACTTCATAAAATAACCCTAATAGAAAACCTGAAAATCTACAAATAAGACTAAAGCTATGGAATTCAGAGGCAAAAAATGAGGAGGGTTAAAATTGTTATAGATGGAAAAATAACATAACAAGTAGATAAGTTTATGTATCTAGGAAACATCATTGGACAAAATTAAAACTATCAAGAATGAAAAATTCCAAAACATAATGGGGTATAATGGAATAATCAAGAAAACATTTGGAAGATATGACAATAGAGACAAACTAAGAATACACAACATAACATCTAAGCCAATGTTAATATATGGATCAGAAATATGGACCCTAAAACAATGAGACTGTCAGAGGTTAAATGACACTTTTCAGGCACCTGATAGGAACTACATGCCTACATCGACAAATAAGCTCTGAAATCAGAAAAAAGATCCAAGCAAAAAGCATAGTGGATGATATTAAAGAGAACCAGAGAAGATGGCTTTCACATGTGTGAAGAATGCACGCAGAAAGATTTCCTAAAGCAGTTTTAAAGCATAAACCCATAGGGTGAAGAAACATAGGAAGACCCAAGAAAAGAGGAGTTGCTCAGGAACACCTGGAGGAATAATCACCAGATCTACCGTCTTAACGCAAACAGGCACCAAACCTACAATCCTGCTGTTTATGATGATGATGATCTCGTAAACGTACATAGACTCTTAGTCACCGTTACAACATCTATTCCATTTTTAGAATTTCTTTGTCACACCTCAAGGTAAGCAAAAGTATTAATCATTAGGGGAAATTTCCCATTTCAAAAGCATTTTGAAGAAATCATTAAAAAATAAACTATTTTTCTTAAGTATGGCAATAATGGAATAAAACGGTCTACTTTTAACCATTAAATATACATTCAAAGCATTCTCATTGACGGACATCTTGAAGGAAGTAAAAATGATGCAGTAATTGGCAACTGTATGGCAGTGAAAGCCATCCAATAAATGAAAAGCCCTTTTCCCAAACAGAAAGAACCGATAAGGTAGCATCTAGCAGCAGCTGCAGCCTCAGCCAGTACAGAGTGTTTCTTTGTTTGAATTAGTGCATTCAACGGTTTGGAATTGTTTAGGAGCTGACAAATTTCCCTCACTTTCCCACTTTTTTATATACATACATCCAAACTTTGACAATATTTTAAGTTTATCTTTGTTGTATTGACCTTCAAATATAACTGTGGTATGGACTTTATGAAATTACTATCATTCTTAATAAAACATTTAGCTACATCTGCATTTCGGATCCTCTCCCATGACCTTTAATGTAGTGTAGAAGATTTTTGTAACTCTCACACAACCGATTTTTATAAACGAGGTCTCTAAAGAAAGAATTTTACAGAGATTTGATGAATTGCCATTTAACTTTAAAAATATAAAGGGCTTGTTGGAAAAAAAGAGAGAAAGAAGAAAGAAGAAGAAGAAGAAGAAAGAAGAAGAAGAAGAAGAAAGAAGAAGAAGAAGAAGAAGAAGAACGGAGAAGAAGAAGAGGAGAAGAAGGAGAAGAAGAAGAAGAAGGAGAAGAAGAAGAAGAAGGAGAAGAAGAAGAAGAAGGAGAAGAAGAAGAAGAAGAAGAAGGGAGAAGAAGAAGAAAGAAGGAGAAGAAGAAGAAGAAGGAGAAAGAAGAAGAAGAAAAGGAAGAAGAAGAAGAAAGGAGAAGCAAGAAGAAGAAGGAGAAGAAGACGAAGAAGAAGAAGAAGGAGAAGGAGAAGGAGAAGAAGAAGAAGAAGAAGAAGGAGAAGAAGAAGGAGAAGGAGAAAGAAGGAGAAAGGAGAAGAGAAAAGAAAGAAGAAGAAAGAAGAAGAAAGAAGAAGAAAGAAGAAGAAGAAGAAGAAAGAAGAAGAAGAAAGAAGAAGAAAGAAGAAGAAGAAGAAGAAAGAAGAAGAAGAAAGAAGAAGAAGAAGAAGAAGAAGAAAGAAGAAGAAAGCAGCATCTAAATATTCATATCAAATGTAAACTGCAACATTGGCAGTATTATTGAAATCTATATGGTTATATAACTCCAGACCTAAACATCCTAGGACCATAAAACCTGGACCATTGAGACTAAAGGCCTTAAAGAAACACCCTTAACACCATGATCTACATGATGAAATCATCTTGATATTTCATTACATTTTTGTAGGTTCAATGCTTCTCAATACTTCATTGCATTGCTATTTCAAACATTTGGAGTAGAATTGTACTTGCCTCATCCTGTATTCTCACATGGAAAACTTTACTTTGTTGCAAATATCATTTGTATTGTTATTCTTGCTGCCGACGCCAAAATTTTGAAAATTTTTTGACTGTATGTAAAAAGACCCTCAAAAATCAAAATATTCGTTTGAAACTTCTGAAGCCTCGACTTCGATCTGATTGGTCGGGGAATATCAATTGGGAAGAAAATCTGCTGAACGGTTTAGCGTTGATCAACAATTTTTTTGCACCAAGGATCCGCTAAACATTGATTATGGCTGCAACACGTGCAATTGTAAGCTGTACTGTATACAGAAACAGGACTTATCTACTTTTTTATTACAAGAGCCCGGCAATAAGAGTTTTTCTGACGAACATGGGCAGTTTTGCGCCGCACGATTACATAACCTCTTACGAAGAAAGTTTAAAAAGCTACACTGGGATTCGTGTTTACTGGACCCTCTTCCCCCATTTGTACGCAACTGTTAAAATGAACAAAGATATTAAGAATTTAGACAAACATCCTGAGCATTCTGTTAACATAAGGTGGAGCTTTCCAATCAATAGAGGCCCAGCACAATTGTGAGCTCAATTAGGCAAAAATGTTTGGAGTCACCTCCTCGACAGCCAGTCTAACGGCGAAGCTGCTCAAACGCCACCTTAAGCGATTACAAAATAACTGGATTTTTTTTCGTGGAATATCCATTTTGAAGTGTATTGCAACAAGCAGAGAATTTGGTACATAATATCTTCCTATGGCGAAACGCATTGTCATATTACTTTAAATAATGACATCGTTTTATCTCACTTTTATTTACTTTCCGTTTCAAGATAGATGAATTCAATAGATATATACTAATGATACGCGTTCGTTTTCCCATTTCGAAGCATTTCTATGGTTTGATAATCTTCCCTTCCGAGGTAAGTCTGAAGGTTTCATGAAACGAGCCTCCTGAGCGAATGCGATCTGAACGTCGTGCGCGAATTCCGTCAGACAGCCCTGGTGTAAGGTTTCTACAAGATATCAAGTTTGTTTGATTAATTCGGCGAGGTCAGAAGCGGTCTCTCAAATAAGAGAACGAGTGATAAGTAGGGTTGCCACCTTGCCAACTCCAGAAAACCGGAGAAATGTTGTATCGTTCAATATAGTCTTAACTTCAGTTATTTCTAAACAAAGAATTATGATTAATTATTTTTAGGTTATAGAGATATGTAAAACAAATTTGTATGTAAAACTTACCTGTATAATTATTCGTTTTTAACACTTATTTCAAATTGTTATTGTATATCTAAATATTCTGCCTTTGATACGAAATGTTTTGCACGCACGCACGCACGCACGCACGCACACACACACACACACACACACACACACATGTGTGTGTTTTCAATCATTCAAAACAGTTTTCTTAATTTTCGCACTAGTATTACATGACGTGCAGTTCCCACGAATCAAAAATGTACCTTTATCTTAATGTTTCCAAGAAATAATTTTCTAAGAAAAAACGAACGAAAATTTGATCTTGTTCAAAATGAAGATATCGAATAGCGTTCCCGGAGGATTATTCTTGAAACTGTTGCGCGATGCGATTCTCGCATAATCGCTAGATGCTGTCTCTGTCTGATATGCGTAGAAAGAAAGAGCGGATGGCGATAACACGAGAATCGCAAGACCAATTTTTATGTTCTGCTCTTTATCTTTCTAATGAAGAAGGAAAGGACAGATTTCTGATGAAATAGAAAAAGCTTTAAATTTAGTTGAAAAATCTATTTATTTTGTAAAAAATTTGAAAATATATTGGAAAAAAAAACAGCTTTTCAAAAACCGGAGACAGGAGATGAAGCTCAAAAACCGGAGTCTCCGGTCTAAAACCGG